GCAAACCCACACCATGAATTATGTAAAGTATGAGAGATGGGAGGTGTCTCAAAGCCGTAAAGATGATTTAAGAATGAAATCTCCAAAGATATTTTGGTGTCCACTCCCTAATGATTCCATTTTGCATTCAAGTCTGAGTTGATTCCAGGCTTCTAACTTTGTGCTTATGAATACCAAAAGGAAAATTTCTCTGATGTTCTCTATCCTTTACCTAAAATTAATCATCTGTGTCCTTGAAATTTAATTAAACCAGATAGTATTTTAAATAGTTTTTCCACCATATGTTGGAAAAAAGAGTAGCAAAATTAAAAGAATAAATCACATCAGAGAGTAAATTAAATACACTGTTTGAAGCCAGCCTCTCTCTCATTTTCCTCATTGTTAAAACTTAGTCAATGCTGACAATAAGCGTTTGAAAGTGGTGGGGACAAAGCACTTCAAAATGCATTGTACAGAAAGCTGAGCATGGAAGGCATTGAATGGGCTAGATTTTCTGAAGTGTTTTTCCTATTTCTGATTGCTTTGGTGTGAAACTGGTAGCATGAAATACATTATAGCCCTGCTGGAGTAGAAATAAAAGCTGTACAAAAATGAAAAATGAAAAAAGAAAACCATTTCAGAAGTATTACCCCCATTTATATGTTGCTTACTCTAAAACTAAGTCAAGCGATTACAATGCCATCAATTTTTAAAGCACAAAAAAAAAATCACTAAATTCATAAAGGGTAATTAAAAAATGAGAAAAATATGTAATTATTGTTTAATGAAAATTGTTCATGATGACATCCTAAGACAATAGTCATAAATTTACGTTGTTGAAAAAGCATCTCTAGAAAGTGTTTTCCCAAATCTCAGGAAATATAATTAGTTTTCAGTGGATAATTCTTCTAAAATATTCAGGGTGTGAACATCTGAAAGAAAACTATCAAAAGAACACTTTCCTCTTGCTATTAATGTATTTTCTGTTTCTCATCCTAGTTTACGACCCTTTCCCCTATGCCTTAAGGACAGATGGAGTTGTGACTCTGCTTTATGTAACACCTAACTTCACATCCCTTTAGAAAGATAAAGTTAATAACTTCAATGGCAGTGGATTCTGCTACTCCAGTTGATGTCCAGTGGCTCCTAGCTGCCCTTTGATTTTGGTTTTTAAATCTGTAAACGCATAAATAGTCTGGGATTTATGCAAGTGAGATTCTGTCCAGTTTAAAATTAATACGTTTTAAGTGTAGTCTGGTTAAAATAATGATAGAGATGTTTGAAAAGTCATTAGGACTGCTTTAGCAGCGACTAAGCTAGAGAGCAGGTTGAAGACTGTCAGTGGATGAGTGTCCATGGTAGATATGTCAGAGGGTATGAAATGAGTATGACCTTGAGGGTGAAATTGACTCTGCAGCCCCAGCAGAGGTACCCAAGGTAAGGTGTGCATTAGCTCAGCAGCCCTCTAGGTCAAAGGCAGACATGTCCACTCCTTAAGGGAAAGCATTTAGGTCAGTTCTTCATCTCACATTTTGAATTATAATTTTAAAAAGGTTCTTTATCCTCTTCTGTATAGTGTATAAATTTGTTTTTCTGTGACTATTCCCCCAAGTCCTTTATATATAACAGGATGTTGGCAGATTATTTGAAATGTCAAATTGTAGTTTTGTCATAAGATTACGGTGGTTTAGAGACAGGTTTTTTTAACTACATCTGTAATGCTGAAGTAAATCAGGTGGGGGATTTTATTGTTCCTGAGGCCAGGTATTACCACATGGCTCATGATGGCAATGTGTGGCATCAGCCCCCAGTGGGGCAGATTTGTCTGGGAGAAAGCTTTTTGGTATGATCCAGCCCAGAGTGAGCTAACCCACAAGCAGCATGGACAGTGAACTTCCAACACCCGGGCTGATTCCCCAGCTCCCCTCAGCGCTGTGGAGGGAGCCTTTCTGTCCCCTCTGCTTCACTTTGGGTGGAACCAGTTTAGGGGCTCAGAGGGCCGAAAGGACACAAGCCCACTGCTGCAGTCTCATGGCAAAAGTATCCTCTTAGCACAGACATGTGAGTCTTCATATCACTAGGGTTTCGTTGTTAACTTTCAACCCTATTGGACACTTTCACTGGAAAGGGCTGAGTTCTCACCACCCTGAGGTCTCTCAGGTGATGTCTGCTCAGGTGGGAGAGCTTTGGTGGGTCAGGTCTTGCCTGTGAGACCTGGCAGTGCTCAGAGTGCAGGCACAGGCCAGGCTGCAAAGCTCCTTCAGCTCCTGGGGGATTCTCCTGCTAAAAATCCCATGGTGGTTATGGAGATGTGGCATCTCCAGGGCTGGAGGTGGGGCTGTAAGGGCTCTGGCTTTCCTTGCTTCTGGTGGCACTTAAAAGATCCCAACAGCTACAGCTTGGGTGGTGTCTCTAGTGCTGTGTTTGTGTAAATGCATCATTTCAGGCATAGTAACACGTGGGTATAGCAAGACAATGCTGTTCTAATCGATTATTTAGTCTTTGAAAAAGGTTTTTTCTGATTAAAAAACCGTACATAAACACTTTTTTTTTTTTTTTTTACAACCAGCAATCAGCTCCATGTTGGGAAAACAATAACAAACCAATCCAGAGATCTATTAGGGAGATTAAAATCTGTTCAAGCAGAGAGGGAAACTGACCATGTATCACTCATACCCTCATACCCCAGGTGAATGCTGTACCTCTTGTGCCCAGGGTAAATCCCATCTGCTGCAGTCCTAAATAAAAAAATAACATGGGTACTGAGCATGCTTCCTCATGGTTTCTGTGAAAAAGAAGTGGCACAGACAACTGTCTGGTTGGAAAAGCAGGACTCTAAATCCCATTGGGACATAAGTGGCTCTTTATAGTTAAGGGTTGGGCGCTGAGTACCTAAAATAATTTGATTTAAACATCCCTGTGCCTAATGTCAGATGGCTTCCCACTCAAGTTGCTACAGCATAAGCTCAAAAGGAAGGCTGTGACATTGAAGATGAATTGCTCAACCCCATGTGACAAAGCTGTGATCCACCAGGGCACAGTGGAAGTCAGGACTCTCCAAGCTGGCGTTGAGCTCAGTACTTTTTATTCTTCCCACAGATCTCTCAGGAGCAACAGAAATTAAATTTTTTAAAAATGAATGAAGTACATATGGCAACACAGCTGCTGAAAATCTGTTACCCTTTTTAATCACCTCTCATGTCCTGGGCATGCATTTTATCCTTCAAACTCAGTAAAATGAAAAACACTGATGGGAGGGTATCTCCCTGTACTATTGGGGGACTTGGTAGTGTTATTAAGTCATTAAGTCATGCCCGAGAAGCCTTGCCTAATAAGGCTATACAGAACTTAGGTCTCAGTGGGTTCATCTTTAAAACACTTTATATACTTATAGTCACTAGGACAAGCAGAGTTTTCACAGAGGTACTGCAAACTGCAAATAAATAAAATTGAAAAAGGAGAGGACCATCCTTTTTCTTAATGATGGTGAACTTCCAAGATGGAAAGGTTGTAAACCCTGGATCAGTGCTCAAACAGCCTTGCAATGATGCAATTTTCCACCTGCTTATGGATATACTGTAGAATAGACCTTCATGCTCAAGTGACAGGGTCTCCAAAGCACTGTTTACTGCCTACCCTCCTTCCATAAGCATTCAATGCCATAAGCAGTCAGAGTGACTATTTCTCATTTGGTAGCCTTGAATCACACTACTGATTATTCGCCTTTGCGTGTCAGCTCCAAGGTAAGGACAGCAAGTTGGGTGATATATTCAATTCCAGTCCTGGAGCTGGGGAGAGAGAAAAATGCTGCTATTGAAAGAGGTTCTTCTGTGAAGGGGCAGTGATTTACATCCTGAATAGGTACAAATTATCCTCCCTTCCCACCCCCAAGTTCAGCCAATATGCTCGTTATTAAATATCTTGGTGCTGTGGTGCCTTTTTTCCTTGCAGTTTTTGATTTTCTGTTAAGTTCAGAAGGCTGTGGTTTGGTAAGAGATATGAGGATATTAAATATCTCCATGAGGGATTGGTCTCCTTATCAGCCTACGAAGTGGTTATTTTCAGTCAACAGTGAAGCATCTGTCAGTCAAAGAAAAGGTCTTTAACTAGAACAAGTTCCTGAACTTACAATTCATCCCTGCTGGAATGAAAAAGAATAGAGCTGCTGTGTCGTTGGTTTTGAATCCTTCATGGAGAGCTGCCAGCAACTGTTAACTTGTGTATTATTGTTCTATCAGACAGGAGAAACACCAGGGAGAATTTACCAGCACAGTCACAAGCCTTTCATCACTCAGTTATTATAGTGATAAAGTTCAGTGGTAGTTACTCACCTCTCCAAAAACAAATATCACCCACTCAGACAAGAGAGAATGGATTTCTGCAGGGTGATGCTACATTAGCTTGTGCTACTGCACCTGACTCCCAGCTACCACTAAATCCAAGTGCCCAGTGCACTTTGAAGTACTGATTGTCAGAGCACTCCTGTGAGCAAGGAGGGACCATGATCTACCCTTGTTTCACAGGTTTGAGATGGAGCTGTAAGGCTGCTGTGAGGCTGAACAATGGAAACCCCTCGACATGAACTTGGGCCCCTGGATCTCTGGGTCATTCAATTCAGCCTGGCTGGAGCAGACACCCTGCTACCAACACGACTGTATTTCCTCCCCATAGAAAGCTCAAGGAGAGCAGTACAAACCTGTGGAGTCAAATCTCTTCCCTATATGGCTGGGATACAGCTTGCAGCTCAGGGCTCTTGATTTAGACTAGAAAAATTAAAGCTAGAAAATTATAGATAGAAAAATTAAATCTTGGATTCACTAGCACTGCAAGTCACCTGATTTACACATATTTTTAACGTGGGTTTTAACTTCCTGTTTGTCTTTAAAACCCGGACTTTGTATCATTGTGTAACCAGGTAATTTGATGAGGTGCTTTGGAGGGGTGCACCTCAACTACTCAACTACATGGCATGCTCAATAGACAGGTGACTGTGTGTCTCATTTGTCCTCTTTATCCTCCAGGAAGACGAAGTTGCTCGTGACAGCCGATTCAATTTCAGTGGCTATGGCATGGGCCACTGCCTCCAAGTGAAAGATGGCACAGCAGTCAAGGCTACCCCACCCAACCCAACTCCAGCACCACCAAAGGATTCAGAATCCATCAAAAAGAAGTTTGTTGACCGTGCAAAAAGGATTGATACAATATCCCGTGCTGCGTTCCCACTCGCCTTCCTCATTTTCAACATCTTTTACTGGATTACATACAAAATTATACGGCATGAGGACATTCACAAGAAATAGGCAACTCTGGTTTGCCAGGACTTCTCAGCCAAAGTGATCCACATGTAAATAAACAGCAAAATGTCATTCTGTCATACGGACTAAGGATTCTTCCCCACTCCCCCAGAACACTGGAGAAAAAATTAGCAAAGAGGAAAAGAAGTGTAGAAGGACAAGTGATTCCATGACAAAATATGCCGCGAGACCAGTCAAGAGGCTCCCCCTATGTACTCCTAGTGTGTTCTTCCAGATTCAGCATCGGTCAGACATCTGTAATTGGGGCCAAATTATACCCAGCGTTATCACCAAGATATTACTTTTCAGTACAAAAGAGAACCAGAAAACAAACAATTCTCCTAAAACATCTATCAAGAGACTGTGGTGGCTACAGTACAGTGAGTTATAAGAGGACCAAAATTTTTCAGGATAATGTTGCCTTTCTATTTGAAACAAGTCTACTGAGCTACATTCCGTGATCATGTCTGTAGGTAGTGGTTTCACCAAGGAGTCCTTTTGTGGGTTGTAAATTATTTCTACTGATAGGGGAGAGGGAAAAAAAAAGGAAAAAAATTTATACTTTACTATCCTTGTGGGTGTGCATTTTAATATTATCTTGCTTTACTAGAATTGTAATTTTGGGGTTGAACTTGTGTGTCATGTGATTTATTTGATAGTTGACACTCCAGAACCAGTGAAACTGCCCGGTTTATTTCTGTTGGGAGACAGTGCACTTACTTAATTTTATTTCTGCTGATTTTACATGCAACTTGAGGTGCCAAAATGTATTTTACCTATTGTGCTACCCTGTACCACACTACTTAGTAAGAACTTGTTTCCTCAAAGGTGTAGCTCAGTTTAGCATTGAGTTTCTATTATTGCTCTCATTGTAGCTGCAGTCAATAGCTCTATAGGTAAACACAACTTGTTTACAGACCTCTAATTTATTTTACTCAAAGTGGCTATCATTTTAAATATCATTAATTAACCTAAGAATTTTAAAACTGTACTGTGATTTTCAGAACCTGTTACCTTTTGGTGCCGGATCTGCGTTATTCAAATCCTTGCTACATGTTTTAAAGTAGAAAATTTAAAAAAAAAATATTTAAAAAAGAGGAAAAAAAGATGGTATTTTTGCTTACATGGAAGAAGACAACCTGTAACATAAGATGAGTAAAACATTAAAATTTTACACTTGCTGTAAAAGGGTTTATTAAAAAAAAAGGTATTTGTTCAATTTCAATAAAGCTAAATGTGGTACTAACATTTCTTCACTCTCTTCTTCATTTGCAGCAGCAGCAGCAGGGCTGTTCGTGCCACAGCCCAGCTCTTCCACTGCTCTGTCAGCAGAAAGAGGGTGAAAAGCAGCCTTCTGCTGACATGACTTAGCACACCAAATTTTTCTGTCTATCCTGCAGCAAAGGGACTATTGCAGCCCCTGGGAGTAAGTCAAGGACTGTCAGAAGTGTGTCTGGGATATGATGGGAGCATTTGTAGAACATTGGTATGTGCTGAGCCAGGCCTGGGGGAGGAGGGATGCTGCTCCCCTCTGACACCAACCCTGCAGAGCAAGAAATACAGCCCAGCTTCACACATGCTGTGCCTGGCTTGGGGGTGTCCAGAACTTTCTTCTGGCTTTCTTATAGCTTCACCCCTTTGGTGAGCTGAAGGATTCTGAGATGGTCTGTGCCAGGTGCCTCTCGTACACATGGGAATGACCAATAGTTTAAAAGCAAATTAAAAACTGAATTCATTTTTCTGCCCTTCCCTTGTGAGGCCCAAATACACACAGTGTAGCTGCCTAGTACAGGCATTTTTTTTCACTCCTCTAATGAGATGTGGCGCTGAAACATACCGAACCTTCAGCACCTCTCACTCTGCTTTTGCCACTGGTCCATCTTCTGCTGAGAGAATTCAGGTTCCACAGCCCATCTGAGCCTGTATTTGTGTGTTTATGTGCCGGTGTTCCCTTCTCTCTCCACATGGCTGCCTGTAGCTACCAGCCTCTGTTCCTGTCCAGAACAGGGGAGGGAATCTGGAGGTCGTGACAACTCTGAGTCCTGAACAATAAACTGGTGACAAAAAGCCAGTTGAGCGTTTTATCTTCCCATACCCTCCTCAGCTCTGTAGACTCTTCTGTTGCTTACACCTCTGATGAACTGGCAACATCACCTCCACCTTGTTGAGGCAGGAAATCCAGATGTGACTGACAGCCCCAGAAAGGGGGACAAGTGAGAACTCAAGACAACTGTCCAAACTATTCTGCTCTGAAAAACAAGCTTTTGATGCAAATTCAAATATCATAATATATGGTATTTATTGTATCAGATTTGCTTTTATTAATTTTTAAAGTGGAACAGTATTTGATTACAGATAATGTAGTGGATGAAAACCCACACAATCCTAGTACCACGAACTGGGGCAGGGTGAAGATACCCAGCTGTAAACTATGTCTGTACGGGAAGTTAGGAGCTTCGCTGGTGTGTAAACATTCAGACCTCCCTTTTACCAACCCCTTGTTCCAAACCCAGTTTTTCAAATGAAGGTGTAATGCCAGTATTAATCAGGATTAATCCTCAGTGCCCAGATGTGTTGCAGGGATTCTCGTGAATGTCAGAGCCTGCTGCTCTCAGCTGCCCCAAATGGCTGCAGGCCACAGCAAGAGGAATGCACACCTACTCTCAGCTGATGGATGTCTTTATATCCCTCCTGTGGTGAAGCTCATGTGCCTCCAGCATCCACATCACAAATTCAACTGCAGTCTTTGCAATTCTTGGCTATTAGCATTTATCAAATAGTTCACTAAAATATCCTGCTGATCAGAACTGGGGTTTGCTGACAGTATCCATGGGAAGATTGCTCTGCTGTTGCCTTCTGTATAAATTTTGGTCCAGCCATGAGAATAATCTGTGCAAAAAGTCTGAATAGATCTGTCACTCTCTTTTGAAGACAGAATTTAGGGATACATGACAATTATTCAATTAATGGATATTGAAATTATCTAACTAAATTTTGGAAACAATGTGTGCAAATGGACAAGGCCCAGCAAGCATGACAAATAGGAATGGCCACATGATACAGAAAAGTTGCCATGTGCTGCCATGTGAACCCTCTGGCACAGAAATGGTTTGATACTGGCCATCTATTAAAGAACCTTCTCTCAAAGAACATGGCTGGCACCGGAAACTGGTTGAGAAACTGCCTGCAGATAAAACATCAATTAACAAGGATAGCAGGATACAACTATCCTAAACAAATCCTCAGTAGGGTTAATAGAGAAAAAATACTCAAAAAATTATCACCTTGCACTCAGGGAAGCAGAATAATTAAATAGTGAAGCAGTTTTATTCCAAGTCACCATTGCAAGAGGAAAAAAAAAGGCTTAGAAAATAACTCTGAAACAAATACCCTTTGTGAAACAATAGACACATCAAGATGGAAAGAAAGAGACCCAGGATTAATTCTGAAGAGATTCCACACACATTAGAAAGCTTGCATGCTACAGTTCTAACTGGTAAAATAAAATTAAGCCCTAGGGCATTTAAACTACTTGCATTTAGTTATAAGACAATTATGATGACTTCTACTTTACCAAGAAAGCTTAAAAAACTTTAAGCAACTCTTTAAAGGATGTAACATCAGGTCAGGTCATTGGGATCCTGTTGTTGCAGACTGGACCTGAGTGATTCAGTAGTCAAGGGGAAATGTTTAGCTACCTCTCACCAGGTGCTATGATAAAACCTTACTGATAAAAGAGCTCTTTAAAAAATCTTATTACATTAGGAGGAAAGTGAGGGGAAAAAATAGTGCAATATGAAATGAGAGATATCTATTTGTTACTCTTTCCTGTTTTTTTCTCTCCATATTTCTTTAGGTGGCAGAGACATCATTTGTGATGTACTGAATCAAATGTGGTGTAGCAAGAGAGGCTTTTGGAGTAACCAATATGAGATATCAGCAATTCCTAACTGCTGGAGGACAACTCCAGGATATGCAATGACCCTGGGGTCAGATGTTTTCATGTGCTGCAGAGGTGAGGAATAAGAGTGGACCTCATCCACAGACACTGAGATTTTCTCGCTTTGATTCCATTTTTTCCCAGCATGAGATGTTGAAAGCAATAGGAAAGGGCTGATGGAAAAATAATGTTTGGCTCCTGCAGGCTGAGCTGTTGCAGCTCTTCATCTTTGTACAAACCTGTCTGACACAGGTGGCACAGGAGCTGCTGCCAGACATGAGGCTCCAGCCCAAACTCACAGCCTTTTGTAGCTGATGTTACTGAAAATATTGTGGGAGAATCTGAACCAGCTTTTGGGATTACAGACATGGGCATTTCCTGGGAAGGGTTTTCACTGGGGTGAAGAGGTGTCTGCCTCAACAACAGGATTCAGCATCTGCACCGATACATAAAGTCACATTTTATGAATTTATTCAAAAGATCTGACTCAGTTCAATAGTGGCATTTCTGTATTTAGAAATATATTTCTAAATACAAGAATAAATATATTTAATGTGTGGTTGTAAAAAGTATATGCACAGCTTTCTTATTCATTTAAAATTAAAACACAGCAATGAACATAGAAACAAAATCTTTGCAATAATATCAGCTTTGTATTACACAAAATAGTAAGAAAATAATTTTATTTAATATATTCATTTTAATCATCTATAATGTAGTAGCTGTGGAAAATTATCTTCTGCCAGACTTTGAAAGTAATTTATTCTAATGATTTTTGGCATAGAGGTTTGTGTCTTAAAGTGTTTTGGAAAACTAAAAACCAAAACCGAGGCTGCCTAGAGAAACTTCTGCCTGGGAAAATACTCTGAGCAGGAAATATATTTTCTCCCTAAATGCCCCTCGCAGATTTTACATTAAAAATCAATCTTCTCTAGTTTAATAGGAAGATAAAATGAGATATTTTTGTCATTTAAGATACCTTTCCTAATTGTGCAAGGCAATTGTGAAATATCATCAAATTTAGGGCTTAGTTTCAGAACAAGAGAAGCATCACCAGTTCCAGACA